ACCATTTCTCCCAATGTCACGGAGGAAGCACACAGGGGTAGGAACTGTTTGGCATTGCAACTATACCGATGACTGTACCTGAAGAAGATAGATTTTACAGATTATGTCTACACGAGACATTTTGAATATTCACAATAAATACCATTTCCCACGGAGGATTAAATGAGGAACTGGAAATCAATACCCTAATTTAGTTCATTAGGCACATTTATATGGGGAGTTTCTTCTGTTAGGAGGTTCCTATCCATTTTGATCGCTTTTTTGTGCTGATCGAGAGTCTATTCTTATCGATAATTGATAAATAGATTAATTAATTAATAATACTTGCTGCATACTGTATCTACACTAAAATCCATAGTGGGTTTTAAGTCTAAAAACAGCCTAAAAGTATCTCTCTCTCATCTAGTAAATATGTTTGAGCAGCTGATGCTGTATGGCAGCCAATATAAATGTTGTCATTTTGAGGTGAAATGGGCTATTGCAGTCTATGGAAATGGGTGTCTTTTACATATATATATATATATAGATGGAATACATTAGCAACCATATTAAATTGCGTAAGAAAACCAAAACATTTATATATGTTATGTTATACATACAGGTGCATCTCAATAAATTAGAATATCATCAAAAAGTGAATATATTTCAGTAATGAAATTCAAAAAGTGAAACTCATATATTATATAGATTCATTATACACAGATTGATATATTTCAAGCATTTCCTTCTTTTAATTTTGATAATAATGGCTTACAGCTAGTGAAAACCCAAAATTCAATATCTGAGAAAATTAGAATATTGTGAAAAAGTTCAATATTGTAGACTCACATTGTCACACTAATCAGCTAATTAACTCAAAACACGTGTAAAGGTTTTCTGAGCCTTTAAATGGTCTCTCAGTCTGGTTCAGTAGGTTACACAATCATGTGGAAGACTGCTGACTTGACAGTTGTCCAGGAGACAAGTCATTGACACCGTCCAGGAAGGTAAGTCACAAAAGGTCATTGCTAAAAAGCTGGCGGTTCACAGAGTGCTGTAGCCAAGCATATTAATGGGAAAGTTGAATGGAAGGAAAAAGTGTGGTAGAAAATTATGCACAAGCAACAGGGATAACCGTAGCCTTGAGAGGACTGTGAAGCAAAGGCTATTAAAGAATTTGGGGGAGATTCACAAGGAGTGGACTATGTCTGGTGTCAGTGCTTCATGAGCCACCACACAAAGACACATTCCTTGTGTCAAGCCACTCCTGAACCAGAAGAATCTTACCTGGGCTAAGGAGAAAAAGGACTGGACTGTTGCTCAATGGTCCAAAGTCCTCTTTTTGTTTGAAAGTAAATTTGGCATTTCATTTGGAAATCAAGGTCCCAGGGTCTGGAGGAAGAGTGGAGAGGAACAGAATCCAAGTTGCATAAGGTCCAGTGTGAAGTTTCCACAGTCAGTGATGATTTGGGGAGCCATGTCATCTCCCGATGCTGTACACTGTGCTTTATCAAGTCCAAAGTCTGCACAGCCACCAACCAGGAGATTCTAGAGCACGTCATGCTTCCCTCTGCTGACCAGCTTTAAGGAGATGCTGGTTTCATTTTCCAGCAGGACTTGGCCCCTGCCCACACTACCAAAAGTATCAATACCTGGTTTAATGATCATGTATCACTGTGCTTGATTGGCCAGCAAACTTGAGTGACCTAAACCCCATAGAGAATCTGTGGGATATTGTTAAGGAAGATGAGAGACACCAGACCCAACAATGCAGATGAAGTGAAGGCCACTATAAAAGCAACGTGGCTTCCATAACAACTCAGCACTGCCACACGTTAAGCCGCATTGATGCAGTAATCCCTGCAAAAGGAGCTCTGACCAAGTATTGAGTGCATACTATACTGCACATGGACATACTTTGCAGTAAGCCAATATTTCTTTATTAAAAATGTTTTTTTTTTTAATTGTCTTATGTAATATTCTAGTTTTCTGAGATACTGAATTTGAGGTTTTCACTAGCTGTAAGCCATAATTATCAAATTAAAAAATAAATGCTTGAAATATATCACTCTCTCTGTAATGTTTCACTTTTTGAATTGAATTACTGAAATACATTTACTTTTTAATGATATTCTAATTTATTGAGGAGCAACTGTATGTATAACATATATAAATTTCTTTTTCTTTTTTTTTTTACGCAATGTGTTAAGGTTGCTAAAGTATCCCATCTGTGTGTATTTTGGGTAATGATTTCCATGTCTGCCTCTCCTGGGTGGCTTCTTTGATGTCCCCTTTGAAGTTAAGGAAAGGGGTGGCTCCTGGGATCATATATAACCTAATGTGCAGTCAGGGTGGGCGTGACTTGATAAAGGAGGCCATCCTCTAAAATACATTGTCATAGCAATCTGTTGTTGTTGTGTTCTATTCCCTCCCCTCCTACTCTTGCCAGTGTCTTCATGTATCTCCATGCGCAGCACCGGCTGGACCGGGCGCATGCGCAGTATGTCCCGCGTGCTGTTTGGTGTGGTGTTAGCCTCACAGGGACACTGAGGTTGCCTTCCAGTGCCCCAGAGATCATCCTTCCAGACAACGATCATGGCTGGCTTTCACCCAATGGATTTCTAGAGGGCTACAGCGACTAATGTTCCATCTAAATGTTAGGCATTATTGAATCTTACATACCAGTCAGCACCAGGGGCGGACTGACCATTTGGAAACTCAGGCGCTGCCTGAGGGCCTGGGGTCAGTAGGGGGCCCCATGAGATGCCCCTGGTACCTTTTTCATAGGCTTTTTTGAGTTTGGGCAAGGACACAGGGGCCCCATGATCCCCTATTGCCCGGGGGCCCCATGAGTTGTCAGTCCGCCCCTGGTCAGCACAGAGCTATGAAGACCAGTGCACCTATTAGTATATCTCTTTTTGTGTGTTATTATTATTGTTCCTTTAAAAAACAGAGGGGTGGATTTATTTAAGGCAAATAGACTGAGCACTTTTCAGGTGCATTGGAAATCATGTTCCCCAGAGCATAGTAAATGTGGTAAAACTCTGCTGATTTTGTCATTCAATCATGTGAAAGCAAACATTATCTTTTTTTATTTTCGTTGCAACTGATTGTGTATTCTTTACAAACATATACTAAGCTCCATGGAAATTGAGTGCAACTGCACTTGCAAAGTGCACAGTCTATTTATTTCTTTTAGTAAATCCACTCCAGAGTCTCTTAAATAACACAATTTAAAAGGGGAGGACAGGGCAGGTTTTATCTTGAAATAAAAATGAGAGTGGATTATCTGAGAGACATAAACCACAAATATGAAACAGTGGCTGGACAGTATGTAAGCATCTTGGTTAGGTGGGAATATAAGAGGGAGCAAGGTAATAGAATAGGCTACATACTCTCAGCTGCTTACAATTGGCCAGTGGCACAACTGTTTACAAGTATAGTTTGTGAACTTTCTTTGTTTAACTACCTCCTGCCCGCCATATAGTAATATGACGGATGCAAGGTGGTTCTCTCGTTCTGGGAGGAGGTCATATGACGTCCTCCCATTCTCAACGCGCACACGCGGCTCAGGGAGTGTGCAGCGCGGCGATCGGTGGTGTGCTGTGTCCCTCGGACACAGTGGATCACCAATCATGGAAAGAGCCGAAGATGTCAGCTCGGTCATGTGATCAGCTGTGTCCAATCACAGCTGATCACATGTAAAGAGGGAAATGCCGGTTACACTGTTCAACAGGTAAAAAGTTTTGGGCATAAAATTAGCTAATCTCACATAATTTTGGGGTGCTGAAAACGAAAATGACCCTAAAAAAATGATTGGCTCTAGTTTCCATGATATATTCACCCATCTAATGACGTAAGCCATTCAAAATTATGATGCAACTTCAGCTGCATATTGCGCAATTGATACTGGTGACCAATAGAAAATTGCATGTATACTGAGATGATGCAATATTAGCCTTTAATTGCATCACTTCACTGCATAAAAGCTGCAGTATCTGTAGCTGATTGTAGTTCGACAGCGTCTTTACATTTCGTTTTATGCTTATATAGGCTACTCAGTAATGCCTCGAACTTGTGTGAATAAAGCAGATAATTTCTGCTATATCTGCGGTGAAATAACTTTTATCTCACAAAAAAGGAGGATAACAGGAATGATTAAGAAAGCCTACAACTTGTATTTTGGCTGCATGATAGGAGACCAGGACAAGAGCTGGATACCACATATATGCTGCAATTCTTGTGGGACGGCACTGGAGCAATGGTTGAATGGAAAAAAGGCATCTATGCCTTTCGCTGTGCCAATGATTTGGAGAGAGCCAACAGATCATGTTAGTAATTGTTACTTTTGTATGGTGCCTCCAATTGTAAAAGGGCTAAATAAGAAGAAAAAAGTTATCTGTGCACTATCCAAATATTCCATCGGCAATACGTCCAGTTCCTCATGGAGAGGGGCTACCAATTCCTAAAGCACCAGAATCCTTCGTGGTTGAGTCAAGTGAGGAAGAACCTGAAGCGTGTAGTCACGTGCAGTTGTAAGAGATAGCCCTTTCCTCGAATACAAGAGAAAAGCCAAGAGAAGCAAAACCGACACAAACTGAAGACAAAACTAGTGAGAATCCTAAGTATTAAAATGATTCAACTTAGCTTATGGCTATAATTTTTCTTGGTAATCCTATGCAATATATTATGCCATTTAGGCTTTGTTATGTAGTCAATATCACTTGCTTTATATTTGTGGAAAGACATCTATCTATATAATTATTGTGCATTATGTAGTCATTACGCCTATAGTAGAAAACTTTCCGTTTACAGAAAAACTAGAGCCAATTGACAAATTTCATTGTTATATTTGAACTCAGAATGTGAAATTCATTAAGAAATGGATCCTTTTGTTTCCAAAACTGGCAAAAAATAAAAATTTGTTGAACAGTGTTATCGGCATTTTTCTCCTCTCGAGCTGTCACGCTGACAGCTCGAGAGGAGAGGAGAGCCGGTAATCGGCTTTCCGAGCAGGGGACATGTACACTAATCATCAGGGCACTGCCTCGTGCCAGTGCCCATCAGTGCCACATCCATGCCACATATCAGTGCCTACCAGTGCACATCAATGCCACATATCAGTGCCCATCTGAGCTGCCTTTCAGTGTCACCCATCAGTGCCAGTCAGTGCGACCTATCAATGCCAATCAGTGCCACTTATCAGTGCTGCCAATCAGTGCCACCTATCGGTGCCAGTCAGTGTCGCCTATCAGTGCGCATCAGTGCCACCTATCAGTGTCTGTCAGTGCTGCCTAACAGTGCCAGTCAGTGCCGCCTAACAGTGCCAGTCAGTGCTGTCTAACAGTGCCAGTCAGTGCCGCCAGTCAGTGCTGCCTGACAGTGCTGCCTATCAGTGCCATGTATCAGTGCTGCCTTTCAGTGCCCATCAGTGATGCCTGTCAATGCCCATCAGTGCTACCTACCAGTGTCTCCTCATCAGTGCCCATCAGTGTCACCTATCAGTGTCCATCAGTGTAGCCTATCAGTGCCCATCACTGCAGCCTTATTAGCGCACATCAGTGAAGGAGAAAAATCACTTATTTACAAAAGTTTATAACAAAAACTAAGAAAAAACGTTTTTTTTTTTCTAAATTTTCAGTGGTTTTTGGTTTGTTTAAGAAAAAATAAAAAAAACCAGAGGTGATTAAATACCACCAAAATAAAGCTCTATCTGTCACAAAACAATTATAAAAATTTCATATGGGTACAGTGTTGTATGGCGGCACTGACTGGCTGACTTTTAGATATCAGTATAGGCAGCACTGATTGGCACTGATGCGCACTGATAGGTGACACTGACTGGCACTGATAGGTGGCACTGATTGGCAGCACTGATAGGTGGCACTGACTGGCACTGATGGGTGACACTGAAAGGCAGCTCAGATGGGCACTGATATGTGGCATTGATGTGCACAGATATGCACTGAAATGTGGCATTGATATGGCACTGATGGGCACTGGCACGTAGCACTGATGGGCACTGGCACATGACACTGATGAGTACTGACCAGTGGCACTTCTGGGGCCACAATGATCATCAGGGCACACTGATCATCAGTGCCCTGATGATCAGAGTACATGTCTCCTCTGCGGAAAGCTGACTCAACAATTTATAAAACAAAATTAAACTCTGAGCCTGTCAGTGCAAGTGTTTTATGTTTATCTAAGCCATTTACAATATGTTTTACAAACTTAAAGCTATATATAGTACATCACACTGCAATATCTACAAACACTCTTTATTTCTACACTTGGCATTTGAAAAATCTTTAATGAACTCCTCCAGCTGTATCATCTTTGGAACACTCTTCTCAACAAACACTACATTCTCAATGACAGCCACACATTTTAAAAATGCATGTCACACCATCATCGTTTGGTCACACGGATATGCATGCCTTCTTTAGGAGCATAAGCTTTCTATACGTGGTTCAGCTGAATCACCAAAATTCACTTAAAACTAGTACAATTTACCACAGTGATGATTTCAGACAAAATAATGCTCATGGAGATTTTAATATAATACATATACATGCTTAGCCTCATCAAGGCTGTTTTTTTTTATGTACAGTAACTATGAAGCTACCGGCATAATTAAATACACATCTGCCTAGATACACCTAGGCCTAGGATAGCCATACCCCCAAATCACAACTATTCCTTGTCAATACAAATATTAATTATTTTCCAGCAGTGTCATTCTTGTCCTGCATGCTGGTAATGTGGTGTGGCCCCAGTGACTATATACAATACCTTGTGCGGATTGCAAAACCCACTTCATCAGGTATTTGGGAAGGTATCTGTGAAAGACTCTATTACATAAAAAATAACATACATAGACATTTTTACATACATATTGTAGATCCATAAAGCAATTCATAATATACAGTATATATGCTTGGATAGGTATTAATAGTATTGAGTGATGGATCAAGGGTTGGAAATCTCCACCTGGGTTTTTTTTGCAACACACAAAACATGCTGTATATAGACGCTGAGACCATACCACATTACCAACATACAGAATAAGAATGACATAATCAATAATCAAGATTTGTGTTGGCAAGGATTGGTTATAGTTTAGGAGTATGGTTAACCTTGGTTCTGTGTAAGAAAATGTATGTTTAATGATGAACAGGGGCGGACTGACAACTCATGGGGCCCCCGGGCAATAGGGGATCATGGGGCCCCTGTGTCCTTGCCCAAACTAAAAAAAGCCTATGAAAAAGGTACAGTACCAGGGGCATCTCATGGGGACCCTACTGACCCCGGGCCCTCGGGCAGTGCCCGAGTTTCCAAATGGTCAGTCCGCCCCTGATGATGACGCTAGTGGCTTTGCAGGTACATTAGGTACCATAGAATAACAAACCAAGAGTGATTGCACTGAGTGTCAAGAATAAAAACAAATAAATGTAAGTATGTGCATCTCAATAACAGATGCACTCACTACAGTAGATTCCACATACTATACAAATATAAATAGCAAATTATCAAAAATGTGTTGTGCTGCTCACAAATATAAAGTGAATGTGCAAAAAAAAAAAATATCTTACATTTATAAAAAAAAAAAAAAGTTCATATGTGTGCTCATAAAGTGCTAAATTCACAATCTGTGACAAAACAGAAGATCCAGTGCAGATAAAGCAACCCAAATAATCCCACTGATGGACTAATTCTTCACCACTTGCATGCACTGACTGTCACAAACTGCTTACCAGATCCCCAGACCTCGAAGAGAAGGCGGTCTGGCAACACATAAAGAGAAAAAAAACAAATGTTTGGATGGATGGATGAAAACCTCATGGTATATTAAGGGGAACTCCTCATGCCAATACCAGCAATCCAGCAAGATAAACTGACTCAGGATTCTATCAATGAGAAGCAATGACAATGACAAGGTCCTTCATAGTGTAGTATTAAATTCACCACTTTCATTAAAATAAGAAAGCTACTCACAAGTGTAAGTGTTATACCGGCATTACAGTCCCCTGCCACAATGGGAGTGATGATGTCACCTCTGTAGCTCTGCCTGACGCATCTCGTCCAATAGGATGTCGTCACTGGGGCAACTGAGTATAGTGATGATGTTACATATAAGAAATATATACAACCAAGCAGAACTATTAGAGGGGGCTTCCACTCATCGGCATCAGAATCAAGGAATTAGGGACAGCCATAAATTGATGGGGTTCAGACTCTGCGCCCCCCAAATCATCAAGGCATGATTTTTGATAATTTGCTATTTATATTTGTATGTGGAATATAGTGAGTTTAGCTGTTATTGGGATACATATACTTAAATATATTTGTATTTATTCTTGTTCAGAGAGAGTCTGAACTCCATCAATTTATGACTAACCTTAAATCGATGAATTGGGTATTAAATGGAACTACATGTTTAATCCTCTTGAGATTAATTTATTTAGATTTGACCATTCGATGTGAAGGGAATGGTTTTGCTACAAAAACCTTTTTCAAAAAGACCGATAGAAGCGGTTATATTCCATTGCAGAGTTGCTATCATCCTTCATGGTTAAGAGGTGTCCGTCCCGAAAGGGCACTTCCTCAGACTCCGATGGAATTGTCCTCAGTTGGAAGAATTTATGATACAGGCTGGAGTTATTAAACAATGGTTTACTAATAATGTTACTCCGTTCAAAGCTTGGATAACACCATACAACAGAAAGATTCCATGGATAGGATAGTTCTGTTGATACCCAAAAGCAAAGAAAAAATAGTTCTGCCTTTAAATGGTCTTTTTGTACGACATATTCTAGCCAGCATCAAGTTGTTATAGACTGCTGAAAAATTATTGGGTAATTTTAAAAAATGATGCAGTACTTGGGCTTGTATTACCTGATGACCCCAAAGTTATATTTAAAAAGTAACCTACCCAAAAACATTTAATAGCCCCCAATGTTATTGATAAACCACTACATCCTTCTTTTTTTGGTGACATGCAAGGTTTTAATCCATGTCGCAAGTGTTCTATTTGTAGGATCTGCAGAACCAATACTGTTAGGACCCGAACTTTCCATTCCATTGTTACCAATTGTAGCTATAGCATAAAAAGTTTCATTACCTGTTCCACTAAGAATGTTATCTATATTTAAAATGTTCCTGTAAGTATGTTGAGAGGACTAAGGGCCTCACAGGTCAGAATAGGTGAACATCTTACTAACATCCAAAAAGGTTTTCGCAACCATAGTTTATTAAAACATTTTGCCATTAAACATTATAGGGATCCAACTGATCTAAACCTGATAGGTATAGAGAGCTTTACACCACATTGGAGGGGTAGTAGCAATGTCTGTGAAATCTCCAGGCGAGAAACTCACTGGATTTACGAACTCAAGGCTTATAGCCCCTTGGGGATTAATGTAGAGTGGTACATCAACTGCTTTATTAACAATAGTTAGGGTCTATTTGACCTACATTGTTGTCCTACTATTTTAGTTATTTGTAATCAAATTTTACTTGTTAGTACTTATAGTTACTCCTGGGTGTTGCCATCCTCATGCAACACTGCATCTAATTGCAATTTGCTTGTTTTTTTTCCTATGAATTGAGCATTCTTTTGATGGTATGTGATCACCTGTGTGTTTTTAATTTTTTGTGATATAAAAAAAAGATTGACAATTTTGAGAAAAAAACTATATTTTTGACTTTTTGCTATCTAACGTGTCCAGTAAAAAATCAAATTTCATCATAAATTTATGCCAAAATGTATTCTGCTACATGTCTTTGCTAAAAAAAAATCCCAATATGTGTAACTTAATTGGTTTACGTGAAAGTTATAGTGTTTACAAATGGCGGTATATATACTGGGATTTATTTTTTTAATTTTTACTAGTAATGGCGGTGATCAGCGACTTATAGTGGGACTGCAGGACTGCGGCGGACATTCTGACACTGGGGGGGGAACTGACTTGGTGTCATTGACATCCCCAGTGACACCAATACAGTGATCAGTGCTAAAAAAAGCACTGACACTGTACTAATGGCACTGGGCAGGAAGGGATTAGCATGAAGGGCAATCAAAGGGTTAACTGTGAGCTGGGAGTGTTTTACTAGGGGGCGGTGTGTGTGTGTGCTGTGCACAGCCATCCACAGCAGTGTGCCTGAGCTGACAGGGAGGAGAACTGTTAGTAAACAAGACAGTTCTCCTCTCTGTCGGAGTTCCTCGGAAATCACTGGGCGCTGGCGAGTAATTACCGGCGGGCCCCGGTGATTGACAGCTGCGGCCACCCCCTACCCGGAAATGCAAAGTCACATATATACACATGATTTTGTTCACTGCTGCCGCCCTGTAGCAGTATTTCTGCTATAGGGTGGTCGGCGAGCGGTTAATTAGACTCACCTGTAGTTGAATTCTATTAAGTAAAATTTTGTCTAAATTCCAGCTTTGCTCCTAAGACTTTCATTGGTGTGTATTCAATTTTTCAACATGGTCTTGAATTAATTTGTTAGGAAAAATACTGTTTTGTGTGTGCAAATTACCAAATCTTGTTTGCAATCAAT